AGCAAGTAATTTTTAATCTTTATTTTGAAACCCTTGATTAGCTATTGCGTATTCTAGCTAATCCATTTCTTCATATTCTCTTTTGACTTTGTTTTTATTTTGAAGTCTCATAATTAAATATGGTTATTTAGTTCTTGTCGCCTGCTTAATTAAGCGTCGTCGTAGTTGTGCAAGTGGACAAGTTGTTCCACAGGTTGTTTTTGACCGTGCTCACAACAGAGACTTCCTCAGAAATACCGTGGATTTAAAGGTAAATTAGATATGGATATTTTCTTCAGCCATGCATTTGATACGTTTTAAGGCACGTATCTACCATATATAACTAATTAACTACTCATTTAAAAAGCCATGTAATTTTACAGAATAGACCCTCAGATTTAATTAACATATATGCATTTTCATTTTGATAGCTTTCCAAACTTTGTTTTTTTTAGCTGAAATGATTTATATGGCGAACTTAACTGATGTTGCGCAGTCTCACGCTGAAATCATTCGTAATTATTTTCTATGATCATCGACCTAGTATTTTTTTTTAATACATCCAATTATATGGTATATGAAAAAGAAGTACAGAGAAACAAATACACATATGTATCATAACAACACAATAAAGACATAGCAGGCATCAACGTAATTTACAAGGGAGTTTACAAGAAAAACATAAAAAGAAAGATTCAAAGGATGGTCGAGACGACGGAATACTGAGATTCTCTAACTTAAAAAGAGTATGGACGAAGTAATTAGGAAGGAGAAATAACACTGATCTTAAAAATGTTATGTTTTTTTTTTTTGCCCCCACAAGTTACAAAACACCATGACATAATTTCTTTAATTATACGATGCCAACAATGGATTGGCAAGCCGCATTGAAATTGCTTGTAATTCTCACACGACCTTGTAATTTCAACGAGTAAAGTACCATGATACAGCCTGTACAATTCAACGTGCGAGGTGCAACGCATGGGAGGAAATTCTAGATTCTATATAGGAAATTAGCTGAACCGGACCCCACAAAAAGAAGCTTCCACTGCCCGTGTCAAGGAAGAACTGGTAAAAAGATCTCCTCACCACTATGGGATACCTCAATCAATATCATCGATAAAAATATAATCATTATTAATGTCTAATACTGATTTTGATATTAATGTAAAATATAAATACAAAACTCATAATACATTAATATACTTGTTAATTATACTAATATAATTTCTTACTAATGGCACACATACACAAACATACCACCTCAACGTTTAAAAGGAGTTTTTATACAGTATAATTTTACTAAAATTCTCAATAATGAATTATATAAATAAAGTATAATCCATTGAGAATTGGTTGGCCCTGAGCGGCGGCATGTTTGACGTTATTTTAATATTTTTCTAAAGTCGTTCACTCTCAAACAAGTGTGTGGTTATTTTGGCTAGAAAAGAAAGTAAGCGTTTGATCACTTTGAAACATTTTTTTACTTTAATAGAAATATTTTTTGGTTCTCACCTGAATTTTAATACATTTTTTATGAGTGTGGTATTGTATATTTTATAAAACACAATATACATTTTTTAGTTTATTCCGTAAGAAATGAAGACTAGATAAAAAAAAATTTAAAAAATATTACAAATTCTAAAATTAATCTACCAAACTTTAGTGTGGTTTATATTCTGTTTTCATTAAAATGATTAAGTACTCATCAAATTTTTAAACTTAATTTTATTGTCAAGTTATGCACATTTCCTCATAATATTTTCATCTATAACAATTATTACTGAAATAAAATAAAAGCGTTACAGAGCAAGTGGCAAATGTTCTGGGGTATGCTCAGGTCGGAAAAAAAAAAGAAAATGTCCTGGGGTATGGATAAAGACTAAAAATGAAGAGCCTCGTAGGCTCGTAGCGAACAGCGAAGAGAGAGAAAAGCCAAGACTTGGAAAACAAGGCAGAGGAAATCGAGTGACAAAAAGCGGTTAGGTAGGTCCGTCCAGGAAGGTTCTCAATTCCACCCAAATAACTGCGCTCCCCTCATCTTCCCAGCTACTTATACCCTCTTCCTCGCATTCCCTGGCGTCATCTCTTCACTCCTTCTCTCTCTTCAAAACCTCTCCCTCCCTCTCTGATCTCCCCTCACATCCCTCGCCTCCCTCTCTCTGCTTCATTTGATTTGCCTTCAGCTCCATTGATCATGTGTGGTGGTGCCATCATCGCCGACTTCATCCCCCGTCACCGTGGCCGCCGTCTTACCGCCTCTGACATCTGGCCCAACTCTTTCGGCAAGCCAAATGACGACTCCGACTTCGACTTCCATTTTCCTCAGCCAGGCCACTCTGTCTCCCGCAAATCAACCCATCCTTCCCCAGGTCAGTCCTCTTTCCACACCCTTCGCCTCATCTTCTTTTCATTTGCTTTCTTGTTGATTGAATGCGGTTTTGTTTTTTCTTTCTGAGGAACAGTTGATCAGCAAGCCGAGAAACCCGTGAAGAGGCAGAGGAAGAACCTCTACCGTGGGATCAGGCAGCGTCCCTGGGGTAAATGGGCCGCGGAGATTCGCGACCCCAGGAAGGGGGTTCGTGTTTGGCTTGGCACCTTCAACACTGCTGAAGAAGCCGCCAGGGCCTATGACAGAGAAGCTCGAAGAATCCGCGGCAAGAAAGCCAAAGTCAATTTCCCCAATGAAGACGATGCCTACTCCCTTCAGGCTCGCCGTAATAATCCACCGCCTCCGCTCCGATCCCCCATTTCTCCCCTGTATCCGCAACAGTACGGCTCAAACTTGAACAATGTGCCTAAAAGTTTCAGTTTGGAGTTTGGCTATGATCTGAACCAGGCGGGCACAATTCCTTCCTTCGGATTCGACACCAATCCAACTCTCGTTTCTGGAGATAAGAACTCTGGATGCGGGTCAGGGTCAGGGTCAGGGTCAGTGTCAGTGTCCGAGTGTGCCTACTCCAGGATGCAACTGCTGGACTCGAGTCACAAAGGAAACGGCTATTCCTGTGAGGATTCGAACATGGACGTGGAAGGAAAAGCGAACACGGTGGTGACGGAAGCGGAGGAAGAGAAGAACGAGATAGAGAAGCTGTCGGAGGAGCTAATGGCGTACGAGAACTGCATGAAGTTCTATCAGATTCCATATTATGACGGGCAATCGACGGCGTCCAATAATGTACAGGAGAACGTGGTGGGCGATCTGTGGAGCTTCGACGATGAGGCCGTCCAGGTTTCGGTGACGTCATCGGCCCTGTGAAGGCTCGTGTCTGTGGATACTGGATTCCTTCTTGCTTGCTGGGGAAGGGCGGAGAAACAGAATGGGCGGAGGAACTGGCGATTTAAGTCCGATGTTTTCGAGTTGAATTGTAATGATTTCCCTTTGCTTTTCTTGATGAACAATGTTTATTTTGGGCTGCATGAATTTTAGGTGTAATTACATTAAATTCAATTCATTCGATTAGTTGATTGTGCCGTCCCGATGAGGGGAAACAAAGATGGAAGCGGCGTGTGCGCCACGCGATCTAGCTAGATACTATTTGGAGTTTTAAGTAGTGAGAACGAAAATTATAATGACGAGGGAAGATTAATTTTGACGAGACAAATGGGGGCAGCTTGTCGTGGCGAAGAGATTGCCCCAAAAGGATAAATGCTGGGTAGATCACCAAATTTAGAGGTTGTTTGGTTTCGTATAAAATTTTTACGTTTCAATATTATAAGAATTTTCTTATTTTTTTTAAGGACGTTGATACCCGCACGTCAATTTGGTTTTTTGTTGTTAGCTTCCGGTTTTTTTTTGGTTAAAAAAAAGAAAAAGTGATGAGGATATCGGATCGGATTAAAGTAACATGGTAAAAAGAGGTAAATTGAAAGGCATAGCTGGGGGGTGAGAGATGCGGGGGCAAAGCAGTGGGGGCTGCTGGTTTTGGAAGACGCGGCGCCAGTGGGCGCCGCCGGATTTTGGCTGACGGCTGACGTTGCTCTTGTACTGTCATCCCACTATTCCCGCGCAACCCCACCGCTCCTCAATTCGCGGTCCCCTTGTAATTATTTTATTTATATGTCACCCCGTAATAAATATTATAAAAGATAATAACGTTATTTTTTTAATAAAATTAATATTAGTTTGTTTCTTTAATCTTGCAGTAAAGTTTTAAAATTAATTCTGTATTGCGGTTTTTAAACAATTTTTTTTAAATATTTTTGCTTCATATTTTATGAATTATGATTAAAAATTATTTATAAATTATTTTAAATAAGTATTTATTTCTTGGAAGGAGATTTTTTAAAAATCCAAATCCATAAAGCCAATGCTGCATCTGTTAGCCTACTTCCTTGCCTACGATTACAGGCTACTCCTGACTAAAGTTTCCGCGTTTTCTTCTCCGTGTTTGGCAGGTATAAATCACTGAGTAAACTTTTTTTTCCTTGGAAGGAGATTTTTGAAAAATAAATGAATTAAATTTTTTTAAAGACTAATTTATGAAAAATGACTATGTTTTTGAAGGATTTCAACTTGCACCAACACTATGAGCAAATTAGTAAAAAGCACACATAGTAAACGATAAGTCTCATTTACATCCAGCAGAATTTCCATCTTTTTTATTAGATAGAAGAATTTTATCTTTTAAAAAGCAACTTGATTTTCAAATGTTGATTTATTAATATATTTTGAATTATTGATATACTTCGAGATGGGGAGACTTCCATCCCCGCTTGAACCCAACACAATTTTGAATAGGATGTGACCATTTTTGCCTTAAAATGAAAAAGGCTTAGGCCCAATCGACGTCTTATCTCTTGGGCTCCTTTACACTGAGCCCAATATGGGGTTGGATAAAAGGCCTCCAAGTTCCAACTTCGGGTTAACAATTGAAACGTCGCCTTAAATAAAAAGGGCTTTAGGCTCAACCAAGGTCTTAATCTCTTGGGCCCCTTTTTGACGGCCCAATTCGGGGGAGGATAAAAGGCCCAAAACGACTGCCAAGCTAGGGTTAACAATTGAAAGGGGTGGTATATAGTTTCCTCCGCCGCGAAGTGCTCTTTCGACTGCAGCTGCAGCAGAGAAGGGAGAGGGTGAGTGGAAAATGGTGTCGCTGAAACTCCAGAAGCGGCTCGCCGCTAGTGTCCTCAAGTGCGGCAGAGGCAAAGTTTGGCTTGACCCAAATGAAGTCAACGAAATATCCATGGCCAATTCTCGTATGATTTTCCCTTCTGTCTTTGTTTCTCCGTTATCTGTACTGTCCTACTTATTTCTTTGGCCTGATCTCTATATTTTGTCATTCCCCTTTTGAACGCTTTGATTGCCAAGGTCCATTTCTTTTGGGCACATGGATTGGTGTGCCGGTTCTCGCAATTCTGAGCGATAATGAAGATAGATTGCTAATCTCATTAGTAATAATAGTTTTTTTTCTTTTCATTAGTAATCTCACTTTAGGATGGCCTGGTTCGCTGCATGCTTTTCTTTAGCCTTAAACAGTCATCCTCTTGGTTCCCTTTTCAACGGAATATGCATTTCTTCCATTCTATTTGACTCTACTTTGGATTCCGCTACTTATGTTTTTGTGTAGTAGACTGTACACCTTCCTTTTATTTCAAGTTGTCTGGAGCCCTAATGCCCTATTAAGCTGGGTCTGATGTTAGATAGGGTATCATTATGTGGCGCAATGTTGGTTGTGGTGTTTGAAATTTCGCAGGCTCATTCTCGTAATAACGTTTCATTTGCAGGCCAAAACATACGAAAGTTGGTTAAGGATGGGTTCATCATCCGGAAGCCAACCAAAATTCACTCCCGTTCACGGGCCCGTCGAATGAAGGAGGCCAAGAGGAAGGGACGTCACTCTGGATATGGTATTTATTCCTCTCGTCATTTTTCTCTTTTGCGTGATATTCTCGAGTTAATTGAATTCAGGGAGACAAGATCGTCAGGCCATGTTGTCATGTTCAAAGACATGTCCAGTCTTCATAATGATTTAAAAAGAACGAGATTACTGCTAACTAGTTCATGCAATCTGAGATAGCTTCTCATAAAAGAGTTATGTCTTTTGAAAATCATTGGTAGGCGGGCATCTTTTTTTATTAAGTTATTAGGCATTTTTATTTAAATTTTTTTAAAGAAAAATTGTAACGTAATCTTTTAAATTGTAATTTTTACCTGACTGACACTAGGTAAGCGCAAGGGTACTAGAGAAGCACGACTTCCTACCAAGATTCTTTGGATGAGAAGAATGCGTGTGCTCAGACGCTTGCTTCGCAAGTACAGGGAGTCCAAGAAAATTGACAAGCACATGTACCATGACATGTACATGAAAGTTAAGGGTAATGTGTTCAAGAATAAGAGAGTCTTAATGGAGAGCATTCACAAATCTAAGGCCGAGAAGGCAAGAGAGAAGACTTTGAGTGATCAGTTTGAGGCTAAGCGTGCAAAGAACAAGGCAAGCCGGGAAAGGAAAATCGCAAGGAGGGAGGAGCGACTGGCTCATGTGAGTTTATGCTTTTAGTTGTTGATGAATCTGTCTTTGGAATTCGTTGGCCTCTAGTGTCTATCATGATCTTGATATTCTCTAGCATTGCACCTGGGAAAATTCCGGATGTCTGTTTGCATAATAGATTGTGGCTGATGCCGGCACATTTGGAATTGACCTTTTCATTTCATCTCTGTATATGTCTTTAGGGTCCTGGAGAGAAACCTACTGCAGCACCGACCACACCACCTCCGACAGCATCTCAGCCAGCCCAGTGAGTGTTAATAGCCTCGCATTGGCTGCTATCATTGTTTGTGACTATTCGTTTTTCATAAACTAATTGAATATGCTTTTTCTGCAGAGCATCAAAAAAATCCAAGAAGTGAGGGGACACATGAAGGAATACCTGATGTAGTTTTGGTCAATCTCTTTTTGTTGGATTAGACATTTCTAATTGTTATTTCAAGTACGAGAGTTTCAACTATTTTTACAGCAATGATTTATATTTATTTCGTTTGATTGCGTTTTCGGTATGAAATTGTAGCGTGCAAAATTCTTCTCTAGGCCTTTAGATCACTGTGACGCTGTTTATCACACCCTAAACATTCCTATCCTTGACCTATCAGATGTGACGCGGATGTGGTTTCATGAACTCATCATTTGTGCTCGCATCGTGTTACGCCAAGTTTTTGTATAATTATATCCTTTTAGTTTTGATCCGACTTTTTTTATTGGATTGTGACTTACCAACATTTCTTTAGGTGTTTATGAGTGAGATCAAACCACTGAAATATGGATTTGTATCCCCCAAAAAGCTCAAATGCTGGGCATTGAAATGTCTGTATCCACATTTTTGTGAATTAGCTTACATAAAATGTAAGCACATGAATTCGTTATAAATGGTTTGGTTTCGTCTTATCAAGCCGACGTTACTCTTGTTTGCTTACTGCGCCAATTAATTATGCTAGCGTGCCCCATTAACTTGTTCTCGCGGGGCCGCTGTCACAGTTAATGGTGCTGGGAATTGGTCCTTTCTTTTAGGAAGACTTGAGAAAACAGAGTTATGTTTCTGATTAATAGATATAGTTTTTGGCCTAATGATTATACTTGATGTTAGAGTGAGGTGCTGTTTAGCAAACCATCTCACCGGGTTTAACATTCCAACCTTGTAGCTCTTTCAGCAGGCGCACGGAGATATTGTTGCATGTTTGTTTCTTACCAATCCAGTGAGGTGGTGATTAACTCTTGATCTGTTGACCCTGGCAATTCCAATCAGCCTTGAGGTCCCTTTGGTACATAACCTAATAGGAAATATAATTTTCATAGGATACTATTTTTATGACCTGAACAGTGAACATCCTTCGTCGTCTTTGCAACCTCCGCCTTTTTCACCTCCCGTCTCGCCTTGCCTCCTCTCCGTATTTTATATTTGGCTAAAATGTTGCTAGACGATTCCTTACCTGGGCACCGCCTCCTAATGCTCCATTGTGATCTTCGCTGCTCTCCAAACATTCATTCTTCTTCGTCCTCCGCCGTTATTTCTCTATTGGGGTAGTGTCTGAAATCACTTTCTTCTTGCCTTATCTAGACAACTATAAAAGCTTCTTGATCATAATTCTCAACTGAGATCAAGAGTGGCGATGGCATGTGTGTTTTTCCCAACGGCATGCATATAATATATAGTGCTTTCAGTCCTAAATATAAGATTTTATTTATAATTTATAAACAAGATCTTAAAATTAGAATATTTTATATTTTATAATTTATAATTAGGATGTAGTGTTAGCTTAAATAAAATTGATGCAATTAAGTTTGAATCCACTCTTTCCTTCCCAAATCTAGATAACCATCGATATAGGTCTCTTCACGCTTCGTATGTATGTGTTTCTACTTTCTAGTAGTTTTTGATGTTCAAAGTTTGCAGATCTGCTTTTGCGTTGATGTTCTGTGTTGATGAATCAAAGCATTTTGATTGTGCGTAGAAGAATCCGAGGGGGGGCGCCATTGTTGGTTGCTGAAGGAGAATGAGGGAGTAAAAAGTTTTTTTTTTTTTTTAAATTTCTGGGGGGGTGTTAATAATCCTAGTTTCCATTGAAATTTTCACTTGATACCGAACTACTTGTAAAACTTACTTTCATTTCTATTTCTTGTTCCGCTTCCATTTCTGATAAAATATTTTCATTTTTCCACTGAACCAACCGTGGCCTTAGGCAAGGGCAGAGTTAAGCCAGTTATTTTCCTTTTCTTGTACTTAAGACTTTGGATTCAATTTCTTACCGAAAATCTTTTAATCTGGGCGGTGCATGAAAGATTGGCCAGAAAAATTTGAAAACACAACAGGATAGAACTGTGTGGTTTAAAATTTTATAACATGCGTGACTTGCGGTTAACTTCCTAATACTCCATCCGGTTCTAATTATAAGTTCCAAATAATTAATTTATGGATAACAAACAAATAGGTAAAATTAGTTTAAAATAATAAATAAGTTAGAAATATATTTTTGTTTTCAAATATATGTTTATAATAAATTAAAAAAAAGGATGAAATAGAATGTGTGGAAAAATTTAACAAGAGAAAAATAATTAAAGACAATATTAGAAAATATGCATTAAATGTTAAGCTAAATTTAAATTGAAACTTATAAAATGTATCACACTCCTTTCTAAACTTGAAAGCTTATAAATAGTGGAGGGAGTATGTAATAACTGGTTTCAATCATGTAACTGGATGAGTAACAGTTACGTTAATAAATAACGAAGAGATAATGAGACAATAATGGCTTATTTTGCTTTTGCATAATATGGCGAAGCGACAGGGACAAATTTGTTATTAATGGGACAAACAAAATCTCGGATGTGTCACCTGGTTCGACGCTACTGTTCTTTGTTTCAAAAACTTGTTTGATAGCGAGTCTATCGGGAAAAGAGCTCATCATATGCTTGGCCTCCGTTTGCAGCTGGCATTCCCACAAATCCCGAGCTTCACCATGAACGTATTTGTAGTCCCTTTCCCTATGCCTTCACTCTCAATCCACATGTCACCTTCCATAAGTTTCACGAATCTGATTCAATATCCGCAATCTGAGTTAGTAACTTCACAAATCACAATTAGTTTTCAACAAATAGCACCGCCTTTATGATTTCTGCACTAAATTATTAAGGTCAACACCACAACAAATTGAATGGCGAGAATTTATGTTATGTTCAGTTTGCTGCATGCTTTAAAAGCTGGGATTCTGCCTCTACCTTTTACAAATGGCTAGTCCAAGCCCTGCACCACTGCTTGGTCCTCTTTGAGACTCAGCAAATTTGGAAAAAATATGAGGAATATCTTGTGGCGAAATGCCACATCCAGAGTCCTTAACCTGCACAAACAGGGATACTCGGGTCATATAGGCTCTGTGGGTGCTCCAAACCATGGTTTCAGAAGCACTTTTCCGCAAAACGAGGTAACCTCCTCCACATACTTCGTAATCTGTAAAAGCACTTCTGAAACCATGGTTTGGTTTTTATCCAAACACTACCTAGTGCTGTAACACAGTTGGGTTACCATCGCTACATTGACAGTTGGTAAAAGCCGGTGTCTTTTTCATAGAATCCTAGGCATCTGGGCGTGCACGCAAATATGAACATCTTTCATATGCAATCAAATAAAATAACTCTATAGACTTTAGATATCTGATATGACATGCTCACGTAACCTGTATTATAACGTAGTGATGACCATCACTTGCTGCCGGATAAAATTCAGGAGGTCGCCGATCCTGCAAAACTTTCGGTTTCCCAACAGATGCTCTCACAGAAACATAGCCCTGTCTAGTGAATTTCACAGCATTACCCACAACGTTTAAAAGGGTTTGCATTAGACGTTTCTCATCTCCAATGGCAAAGACAGGCACATCGGGGTCCAGAGTTAAAGTCACAAGTAATTTCTTCACAGATGCTATTGGCTTTATCAAGTTAATAACCTGCATATTTAAAGGTAACTAGCATGGTGAAGAATAACTTAACTCCTTACTACTGTTATAAAACACTGAAGCGGAAAATCTGTGACAATTACCTCTTCCAGAACCGCATGAAGGTTAAATTTTCCCAATTCTAATTGAAGGCTACCATCTTCTAGCCTAGAAAGATCTATAACGTCGCTAACAAGTGTTGCCAACATGTTGCTATTCTTCAATGTTGTCTCTATTACGCTCCTCTGCTCAGAAGTGAGTTCAGTCTCCAAGAGAAGCGATGACAATGCCATAATCGCGTGCGTTGGCGTCCTCATCTCATGATTCATGACAGCAAGGAAATCATTCCGAGCATGGCCTGCCATTTCTGCTTCTCGTCGTGCCAAATCTAAATGAACATTCTGTTCCATGAGTTGATCCCTGGCTCTCATAGACTCCTCCAATATAGCAGCATGTGAAAGAGCTACTGCCACCTGTTTTAATGCTTGAAAATCTCAGATATACAGAATAAGATTTCTAATATACAATGCGATGAAGTAAAGCAATTAGGAATTTAGAAGACTATGCAATATTAAAATGCCGGTAATGAGAGAGAAGGAATATAAAAAAGGACCTGATCTGCTACTACATCAACAAGTTCCAATTCGTGATCTCGCCATTTTCTACCAGTGTCGGTAGGGAGGATCAAGACCATGATGGCATATCTCTTTGCAGAAAGATCTGGCCAATTATTGATTGGAAAGTCTGAGAGATGCAAAAGAGGAACTCTCACAGCAACCACCTCAGGTGATCTGTATCTTCCAACAACAGGTTTAATAGTGACCAGGGGACATGTGTGTGGAACCCTCATCGCTCGAGGGCTATTGAAAACTTCATTAACGATAGGAAGGTTTGTCGGGACGCAGGAGCTAACATGTGCACCACTCAATGTGTGTGAAAGTTGAAGATGAAGACCACATCTTGAGGGCATCCACAGTGCACATTCCTCCAAGCCCAAAGTTCTTCCCAACTCCACAAGAGTGGTCTTGAGAATGGTATGCCTGTCAAGCGTGCTTCTGATCTCATGAGTTAACATCCTGACATGCCTCCCAGCTTCTTCTTGAGTAAGAATAAGCCCCATTTCTCTATCAAGCTCTTCAGCCCTGATCTTGAGAAGACGTTCCCGAGTTTTGACGCTCATCAGATCAGGGATAATGTGAACAAGCATTAGTGCTGTGGCGCAGGATATAATAGCACACAAGGCTTTAGCCATTGCCATGACCATAGCAATACCTTTAGAGGGCAGGAAGAATGTCCACAGGCTTACGAAGTGAGATGCTCCACAAAGAATAATGAAAGCACCGAACTGGATAAGAACCCATCTGTATGGGAAGAATGCAGACTTCTGAACAAAATATATCAGTTCCAAAGGAATCGAGAAATACGCAAACGCTATTAGAATATCCGAGATGTACTGGTATTTCGTGAGAAGTCCATCCAGGGGCCAATTCTGTGGCTCAAGGCAATCGCAGGACTCCATAATAGTGTAGCAGCCTTCTCAATAAATCTCTGACAACGACGTCCTTAGCACACCTTATTAGCAGAAATCAGCACAAAATACGGGATCTATTTAGAATTCAGAACCAGGATACTGTCTTATAAAACATCAATACTCACAACACAATCAAACATGCGCAAAGACTATACCGAATATGATTCAAATGCCACAAAGCAAAATTCTTCACGAGGTAATTTTGAATTTATCAGTGCAAACACATACAACAACGGCCCAAAATATACCTACTGTCGAACCAAATGTCCAAGATGAATGTTTTCAACAAGCAATCTAATCATGCAAACCAAAAAGACTTAGCAGTATAATAAGCACGCGGTAGAAAACAAAACAATGAAATCATTCTTACCAGCCAAAGAAATCGGCGAAAAGAAACCGTAGCAGCGGAAGAAGTAGAAGAGACAAGGGCGAGTAGAATGCAGAGTTAAAGCCAGTAACGTTGTCACGAACAAGGAAGGCTACCCAGTTTTTCAGATTATGCTTTTCTCGCAACTCCAGTGCTGCTTCAGTATATTCAAGTCACAGTCCCACAAAAATTTCAGATTGGTTGGTGTTCATAAATATGATGATAGAGCTAAGTGTGCGGACGGATCTTCTCTATCTCATGTTTAGGAAAATATGGATTGTTTTTATATGTACTCTCAGACGTGGAGGAAGGGAAGGGAGGAAAAAACTGCTTATTTTCACATATGGATAAGCGGATCTAGAAGGTTACTTATAAGTCGTTATACAGTTTGCTTTTTAAGTTTCATACAGTGCACTGATCATTAACAATGGAATGGATGTGGCTCAAATTCACACAAGAATGCTTCGCATGAATGAGAAACTAATGGAAGAATCAAATTATGTTGTCTGTTACTGTTAATTTCTATGGCCTTTTTTGGAAGAATCTTGATTGTTTGATTCTTTCGTTTTTAAAAATTGATCAGGTTAAGTAATAAAATAAGCAAGATTAATTAAATTTCTAATATGTTAATATGTCGAGATAAATAAGATCAGATACAGACGAAAAATCGTGTGATAAATTAGAAAAGAACAAATCAAGTTGATACCCCACGCAAAGATGCATAAGCCGAATACTGAAAGAGAAGATTCGTAGCCTCATCCTCTAAATCACAATGCTGAGCTATGTTCAATGGATTTGAATGATGGTTATCAAGTAGATATAACATCGCCATCTATCGGGGCGGAAAAAAAAAGGTTTGCTAATATTTTCACCAAAAATTCAAGCACATGCAGTTGTTTTTTTTTTTTTTTTCATTTGACAAACTAACACTAGGTAAAATGCAATCCGATTTTGTCCAAAAAAATGCAATCAGATGCGACGAGAAAATCTTAAGGTTTTCGCATGTAATTAACAAAGATAAAAATAAGATGCTCAAAACACATGAGAAAAAAAAAAAAAAGAGGTGGACCCTAAAGTTTGTATGACTAGGGTTCAACCGTGGTTGCCCGTCGCGTCTTGGGCGCAAAACGACCGAACGAGTTTCATACAATTAAATGCAAGCCTTATACACCGTAAATTATACTCGCTACTATCTCTAATATAAGAATTACGTTATAGTTCATATATTATATTATAAAGTGATTCTTATATTAAAGATTGAAAAGTAATTAAGTACATGAAAAGTAATTTTGAAAACACATTGTAAGTGCTTCACTCCCCATTTAGAATCACATTTGAAATTACTTATGAACAAGTCGAGAAAAACTTATTTCGTATATTTATCTTGTATTATGTAAATCTAGACAGAACAACTACTTATAAGTTTATTCCAAACGATAATTCTGATTAAAGTCTTATGCCATGCATTGTGAAAAGATTTTACAAGGGGCCTTGAGCCTTTTTATATATATATATACACACACACACACATTTGACCTGATTGAGCCTTATTATATAAGTCAAAGGTAGTATTAAATGTAGGCGTTGGTTATAACTAAATGACAACACTTTGGATGGTAGGACAGACGGATACAAATAAATATAATACGAAAAGAATGTTATGACTTTTTTATATGTTGACTGTCCATCTGTCATTTTCTGAAGCGGATAACATGTTCATGCATGTACAAATGAGATTGTGCATTGTGGGCGCATGTTAAACGTCACCGGCGAAATTTACAGTCAAATAATTATGTCTGGGATTTTTTTTCAAAAGCAAGTTGAAATGTTCCGTGGGTGGTTTAGTACGTATTTGGATTCCACTTTTACCAGCAGAATTTTCCAAAAACAGAAAGTTGTAACGGGCGATTAGTTACTTTTCAACCTTGGTTTGCAGATCAGAAAACGACACAAGTTAGTTTTGGAAACACAAATTAGAGTAGCTTTTGGCAAAAGTCGGTTCAATTCTGCAGAAATCCGTTTCATTAACGGTGAACTAAACACGTTCTTAGATTGAGCCGGTTAGAGGAGGTTGACACCCAGGCTTTCAGAGGGGCCTAATCAGCTTGGGCTAAATCTCAGGTTCAGGTAACGGAGCCTTGCCTGTAAGTTTTGGTATGCCTCTTCAAAGGAATTCTGACGTCGACAAATCCAGATGAGTAGGAAAAGGGAAAATGATTCGTCCAAATCCCCAATAAAAGATACGAAGCACTGAATCAGACACTTGAACTACAATATTGGCTTTGTGGTTCCTCGCATTTCAACTCCGCATTATTGGACTGAGACTTCATCGTTATCCTTTTCCTAATTTCATGGTAACTGCACAAATTTCCCCGTACAATACCAGTGTTTTAGCAAACAATCTTCAACTTTCTGTCTTTATCAAAACGTGAATGGCGTGGAGGCCGTGATGCTTTATGCTATATGACAAGTCCCCTGCACGCACCAAAATATGTGCTCTCTCTCTTGCTGGCCGCGGCTAGAAAATGATAGTGTAAATCTCTTGAAGCTTTACGGTGTGAAAGAAAGGGGGCAAATTTAACCATCGACACAGACAAAGCAAATGCCTATGATGTCCCCTTACGAGGACGTAGTAACAGTGTTCTGAATAGGAATTATTAGCGCTATGATTGAGAGTAAGTGTCAAGTCTAGCAGCCATATAATTGAGGCTGGTTGGTGTAAATCAAAATCTTCGTGTGGTATGATTCTACAATAATTCGCAGTGTATAATTAGGCAGCATTTGTATCTCTTGAAACAACGAAAATGCTTGATGCAAAGAGAAATAAATTAAATATGTTTGATATGGTGTGAATACCTTTTACTGTTTGAGTGTGAATACCTTTTACTGTTTGAGCTTTTTACAAAATTTAAAGACATGCATATTCATTAATATTTGAAACGAGCCATTGGACTGCCTGTGCAAAGGGCATGAACAGGGAACCCTCCATAACCGATTTCTTCGCCTCCTTCAATCCTTTGAAGAGTCATCTTCCCCACCAAGAGCCTTCTGTTGCTGCATGGTGGAGAGCCATCCGTTCATACCAGGACAGCTCTGGCAAACCAGTCTCCACAACTGCTAGACTTATCAAACAAGTAGGGGACATATACTCGCTAGGAAAGAAAATCAAGCGTGCCCAAATAGCAGCCCTCATCAAGAACAAGATATCGAACAAGATATTCCCATTAGATTCGAATGGAATATACTTGGTTTTGACTGCTAAAGATGTAAGCGTGGAACGATTCTGTATGGGATCATGCGGCTTTCATGATAGCATCCAGGTATCTGAGAAAACGAGAGTTGTCTATGGACATGTGGAGGAGACTCATTAGCGCAGTGCCCGGGCCTGTGCGCATGGCCTTATGCTATTCCGGAGAATGGTCCGCGGGAAAGGCTCGTTTGGCTCCTAACGGTGTGGAAAGTGATGGTATGGTATTATTAACATCGGGGCTGTATTGGTGGGGGCTGTGACTAATCCTTACAAGACAGGGTACTTTCAAGGCGATGCCTTGGCGCCGCTTGAAGCTGTCACGGCGTGTTCAGGGATTTTGGGGTCGGAGCTTATCCGGGGTATCCAGGTGATTTATTAGTGGATAAGTCCAGCAACGCAAGCTATAACTTGTATGGTGTAAATGGCAGGAAATTCCTTCTTCTGCTGCTGTATGGGATCTCCACAGCTTCAACTGCAAGGTTATTGCTTGATATTCAGATTTGTGTAGACGAATAGACAGAACTTGGCTAAAATGGGCGTCGCATGCTCCTTGCATTTCCTTGAGGGTAAAGAATGTGTATCTTGCTATCCTCAAGGTGAAGGAATAATTTCATGAAAATAAAACAATTGGTAAACAAAATAATCACACAAAATGCAGTTGCCGTAAGCACTAAGCAATACGGTTGGGGCCCCTGAAGCTGATGGAATATCGCTACTCGATGCGTGGAAATTGTTCTGAATGATAGGATATGCTTGGTTTAGCCTTCGTTTTCCTCTTGCATTTTTTCTTTGTTTGAAGTTGTGCTTGCCTCAGGTCGAAAAAAAAAAAAATTGTGCTTGCCATTTTAATTCCAAAAACCAAAAGAAAAGGAAAAAAAGAAAAAAAGGCACCCCTGGTTCTGTCTCTTTGCTGTGAAGTACCGCACTGGCCGGTGCTTGCGCTGCAAACAAACGAGTCCCCTGTATTACATGCACACCTTTTGTTAATGTCGCTGTCTTTCTTATGGGAAATGGCGTCGCTTATGAATAGATCGAACTACTATTTATCTTGCAAAAGTAGTACTCCTAGGTTCTGAAAGCAGCAAAAATTAAGAATTTTTAATTCAGCCATCAGCCGAAAATTACTTTCACCTAAAGTAAACGAACCATTGATTGTTCCTTAATCTGTCGGCCAATAGCCAAGTCAACAGCAGACCAGCTGCTCGTACAAATCTAAGAAAAAACACCTAATACTTAAAACACCTGAATTGCGCAAGAGGTAGAATGGAGAAAGAGTAGCGACGAAAATCATGGCCAGAAAAATGAAAAAGTTCCTTTATTTGTGTCAGCAAGTTCCGCATCACATTGAATCCTTCCAAATCTGTAGGGGCCCTCCCTCAAGAATACAAATTTTGGACGTCAAAATTTTAACTTATTAAACCAATCATTCCTCGACCCAATCAAAGGATGGGTTAAAAAAATAATACTTCAATGCAACAGGGAACTATCCCTGAAGCTTTTACATAAACCTAATATTCGGTCAATCGGTTGGGCCAATCATTTTCTCAGGCACCACAAGAGTGTCAAATTCTTCACAGGTTAGTACTCCAAGCTTCAACGCAGCATCCTGCACAATTAGTTTTTCGTCAATTTCAATATCTCAGACAAGTAATTGGGAAGCCACAAATGTCGTACAGAAATCCATTATAAAGGCATCAACTCCTTTAGATTAACATTTTTCCCATCGACGGCAGACAAAATGGTTGGGCCAAACCAATACTAGAGTTGAATTGAAATTGGTGTGCAAATAACTTTAGATATGCTTAAAATGGAATTTAGTTTGTTCGTAGCTGATGTAGGTAGACAGAACAGTAAACTTTATGTATACACATCTAGAGATCAAACACAGAAGATCAACAGAATCTCAAGATTAACAAGGATTTTTTTTTTTTTTGGGTAGTCAGTGAGGGCTAATGAGAATTAAGAAGATATTATTACCTTAAGAGTGGTTCCCTCTTTGTGCGCTGTCTTGGCAACTGCTGCGGCTTTGTCATAACCGATTTTCTGAAACCGGGGCATTAAAGCTATTATTCAAAAAGATCATGAAATTAAGGAAGCTACACAAATTTAGACGAGTAAAAACTTACTGGGTTCAAGGATGTGACAAGCATTAGTGACTGCAAGGAGATTTAAAAGGTCAAACAAGATAAATTAAATTGGGATATAAAGGAAGGCATCAATAAAGATATTTTGTGCAAGCCACAACTCACCTCATGCAATAATTTTGAAATTCTTTCCCTATTAGCTTGAATACCTCTTACGCAATTCTTCTCAAAGGAAGCTGACGCATCTCAAGTAGTCTAAGTGACTATCAGATGAGAAATAACAAAAAAATTTTATGAGTGCATATGCTACGTAACATCATAGGATAGGCCATAAAATAAGTTGTAATTGGGGATGAAGAGACGATGAGGATGAAACATACATGCAGGAGACAACTGCAATCATCGGTTTAAATACATTGAGTTCAAAATGACCGTTTGCTCCACCAACTGTGATGGCTACATGGTTTCCCATGACCTGGAAGTTAAAATAAACTGTCACTCATAACTTTATTCTAAACATAACCATAATCACTACAGAACTGAAAATGCATGAGTAAGGGAAAGAGAATAGTAAGTCTCCGTTAGAAATATGAAAAATAGAAGTAGAAAAGGGGAAAAGGGGAAGAGAAGAGTAGAGAAGAAGAACTCTAGAACCAGAATCTGTAATTCTAGAGAAGAGAGAAGAAGAATGAAAGAGAATAGAGAGAAGAGAGAGACTAGAACCAGCATCTAGTTCTAGGAAAAAGAGGAGACAGTTAGCGAACTATATAATCATTCATTCATTCATCCATGTCATTGATAGAATACGTCTAATATTTATAGCCTAATACAGTAACTGCAAATAACTACTCTTTCCCAAACATATAAAACTGACATTAACTGACATTATCTTAAAATAACCGACATAGGACATTTGTAAAACTGACACTAACTTAAAATAACTGACATAAGACACTTATGATGGCTAATACAAAATCACAACATAAAATAAAAAACACAATCCTAGTAAAGGGCGCTAGTTCCTAGCAGTCTCCAAGCCTATACACTGCATGCTTTTAGAGCTCAATTGATCACTATTATCTCATAGAAACCGGACAAGTTAATCTTTACCTGTGCACAGACCATTGTGAGAGCCTCACACTGGGTAGGGTTAACCTTTCCCTGTACAGAAGAAAAATGATGCGTCCCAGTCAACATGTAATAGAACTTACATGGATCAATAAGTTTATCATCAAACAAAAATAAACAGGCTTATTTTGAGAACATATGTATGTTAATAAGGCATGAGGATCTTACAGGCATAATACTGCTTCCTGGTTCATTTTCAGGAAGAATGAGTTCACCAAGGCCACAACGAGGACCACTATAGTAGGACAACATTATAAGAATTCACAGAAGAATAAAAATAACCAATTTGTACATTATCACAATTCTTGCATGCCAACCTTCCTAATAAACGTATATCATTTGCAATCTTCATTAAAGATGTTGCAACTGTGTTGAGGGCTCCACTGGCTTCAACAAAAGCATCGTGGGCAGCCTGCAAAGGGACAATATGAAGTCATGGCGGTGCCAACGTTTTGCAACATGTGATGCAAGATTAAGAGCACAAATCAGTCAAAACAAATCTGGCTTACAGCAACTCAAGGAAAATAAATTAGTTTCAGCTACAAACCAAGGCCTCAAACTTATTTTCTGCTGTGACAAAGGGCAAGTTTGTTTCCTCAGCTACTGCTGCTGCTATGTTAACATCGAACCTAAAATGACAGCCAAATAAAGTCACACACGTTCTCTTCAACATAAAGAAAGTATTGATTTGCCAATATAGCATCAATTCAAATGCACAGCTTCTATAGAGAATACATACTATCACTTTGAAAATACAGTTAAAATTCAATTTCAGGAAATACATGCTACCAGTTCTAAACATAAGTGCCTATGTGCACAGTCAGTCAATGCATATAGTAGATTTCAACAAATTCTTCTTGTATAGGATTGTTTATTAAAATAAGAATTCACAGAAGAATAAAAATAACCAATTTGTACATTATCACAATTCTTGCATGCCAACCTTCCTAATAAACGTATATCATTTGCAATCTTCATTAAAGATGTTGCAACTGTGTTGAGGGCTCCACTGGCTTCAACAAAAGCATCGTGGGCAGCCTGCAAAGGGACAATATGAAGTCATGGCGGTGCCAACGTTTTGCAACATGTGATGCAAGATTAAGAGCACAAATCAGTTAAACAAATCTGGCATACAGCAACTCAAGGAAAATAAATTAGTTTCAGCTACAAACCAAGGCCTCAAACTTATTTTCTGCTGTGACAAAGGGCAAGTTTGTTTCCTCAGCTACTGCTGCTGCTATGTTAACATCGAACCTAAAATGACAGCCAAATAAAGTCACACACGTTCTCTTCAACATAAAGAAAGTATTGATTTGCCAATATAGCATCAGTTCAAATGCACAGCTTCTATAGAGAATACATACTATCACTTTGAAAATACAGTTAAAATTCAATTTCAGGAAATACATGCTACCAGTTCTAAACATAAGTGCCTATGTGCACAGTCAGTCAATGCATATAGTAGATTTCAACAAATTCTTCTTGTATAGGATTGTTTATAAAATAAGACCAGGCCTGATGAAAAGCACACATACAACTGAGCAAAAGAAAACTTCATCTATTATAATCATTTTGGAAGATATTATAACCATGGTTGACATTTCAAAAAACTTGGGGGGGGGGGGGAATGCATCTGAACAGCAACCAAAAATCATATGTACCCCTTCTTTGTATTCAATCCAGTCCCAACAGCCGTTCCGCCCTGTGCCAACTGCTCAAAAGGTCCAACCAATTAGTGCCCTAAAAGACTATAACCCAACAAATGAAAGATATATCAATTAACGTTTGTGCTTGGACATCTAACCTGATACATTCGGGGCAAAGTGCACATCACTCGATCAATTCCATACTTCACCTGTTAATAAATGAAGAGAAAGTAAGAAATTAAGCTATAAGTATCAATCATGTACTGTCCATTCAACACCAGACAAGACATCATAACAAGAGGAAATTAAGCTTACTTGTGTAGTATAGCCACTAAACTCCTGCCCAAGAGTTAACGGAGTTGCATCTTGAGTATGGGTGCGCCCAATCTTCACAATATCTTTGAATTCAACAGACTGGGAGGTATTGTGTGGATATGAGAAAATTGACAGATATAGATTCAATCAATAATAATTGTCAAAAAAAAAAAAAAAAAGGTACATGAAGAAGCATAGAACTTTCAGAGCTAAGGTCTGTGACATGTGAACGGTCGCAAAGACAATGGCAAATAGTTTAAAGACAGAAAGACAAGTGAGAGAAAGAACCATAGAAACCATAGGTTCAAAACAGGACGCCAAAAAATTATGATGCAATAATACATCCCAGGTTTGAGTGTTTAACTATGAACCTTAAGATAAAATAAATGATTGCCAACCAAGTTGGAGACCCTTCTCCTAAGGCTAGCTATTGAAGTAGAAGAACCAACCTACTTGAGAATTCTATAAAGTAGCTCATACCACATAAAGTGAGATTAAGCAACCTACACCATTTTGGTCTCCATCAATTAGATGCCATTGACAAAATGAAATCACAGCAGCTACATTTTGTAAAATTTAACTCGAATTCCTTGGCAATTAAAACCCTCTACCAGTCAATACTCTCCACAGCTAGTCCATTTTGGAAATCAACCGCCTGCTCCATTATCAATTTGGTACAAACAAGAGAACAAAACTGGTACTCTACGAGAAAATGTATTCATTCAGCTATTCACAGAACATCAATCTTCCACTATCTTCTACTTAAATCTCCTAAGAGGGCCGTCTGTATTGGGGTAGTTAGTGGTTAACCAGTTCCTACATGTATCAATAAGACTGGAATGAAACCAAACCAAACCAAACCATCTGAACTTCTCCTACAGATCACACACTCAGATGAAGAAAGAAAAGAAGTATCTGTCTAAGATATATTATTTGAAATCCAAATTCGCTATTATGACTCACAAGGGCACTTGATAACCTAAAAAGATGCAATAAATCACCTCCTGACATGAGCAGGAGCAATCCACCCATCATGCTATGCTTCTTTTGAAAGTATGAACTAGAAAATAAATTATCAAACCTTGGAATGTAGTGAAGAATGTAAGGTTTTCAGTTTTGGAATTAGTCTTGAATTTATTTCCGTTGCAGCTGCGATGTGCATTACCTGGAGGTAGAAATTTGCAAAATAAATAAACATAAAATATTTTTAAAAAAATTAAAAGGAAAAGAATATTGATCTTTTTCAGCAACAAGACAACAGTTGATAAAGAAAGTTGAAAAATGACAGCTACAGTTCAAAAGGACTCAGCAATAGTAATTACCTCCTCAGTGCAAGGAATAACTAGCCAATTCAATTACTCAGGTAGGAAATTAAAGTAGTTGAGACCACCAAAGAGAACAAAACTTACAGTTGGAAACGTGTCGTTAGAAGATTGTGATCTATTGACATGGTCATTCGGGTGCACAAACTTTTCACCACGCTTATGACCAAGAATCTCAGCTGCTCTGTTTGCAATAACCTGCAAAACAGGACGCCATTTCTTTAACATCAGACAATCCAATCATCAAATGGATCGAGCATTCACTAAACCAATCAAATAAATGATCCATGTATCCTAGACTAAACAAAATATTTGAAAGCGATATTTGTGCCATGATGAATAATTACAAGTCCATCAGGTTTGCTGCAGAATTAATTATTGTTTTATAGAACGAATATAAACTATAATTACAAGTCCATCAGGTTTGCTGCAGTATTCAAATCAGAGCACTAACCTCATTAGCATTCATGTTGCTTTGAGTGCCGCTGCCAGTTTGCCATACAACTAGTGGAAAATGGTCATTTAGCTTCCCCTCCGCTACTTCTTGTGCAGCCTGCATTATAGCTTTCCCAATGGTGGGATCAAGGCCGTATTCTACGTTCACCTGCATTAGAAGCATGAAGACCCATCAGGCGGGGCAATTTTTCAATTGAACCAGGATGATAATGGAACGAATTTTCAAGAATTTCGGTAACGCTAAAACAGACGAGACTGAAATTGACATTAGCGGTAGTGTATGATTTAGCCAACACCCAACACACCAGACGTGCCAGCACTAGAAGTCAATTGGAAGTAAAACAAACTTTTAAAAAATATAGGGGTAAAAGCCAGGCTTGCCCAAGTAACCCGGTTTATACCGGGCATTAACAATTGGAATATCGCGATATAGCTATTTGTCGAAGGCAGTTAAGGGATAAGACTTGAATGCGAAAACAACCTTAGCAGCGGCTTTTTTTAAGACGCCAAAGGCACGAATAATGGGTTCAGGCATTCGTTCCCGCTCGCCACCGATATCAAAATTCTGCAACGACCTTTGAGTTTGCGCGCCCCATAATCTAACAGAAACAAGATCTCATATGACATTGATAAACGAAGCATTCGACTTGCTTCGAAAGCGAACTAGAAGAACATTTTATGAAGAGTAAGACGTGAAACAGAAAAAAGTACTTGTCGGATGGGACTTGAATTGGTCCAAAGGTATCTCTTTCTTCTCTAAACGAAGTAGAATAGGCCCTAGAAGAGAGAGCAAGACGTAAGGCCAGGGAAGGATGCACAGCCGATGATCCGCCCGATAACCGCCGCGAGATAACGTAGAGGGCCATCCTCCGCCCTTCTGAATGAGGATGCAGTGGGCAACCAAGGATGCGGAGGCCGCCGAAAGTGGGGGAAGTCGAAGAGCTAGAAGATGAAGAGCGTAATAGAAAGGAGATGGAGGCAGAATAGAATTGAAGCTTACGTCAGCTTTCGATCAAAGATGGGCTGCGGCCATGTGACGCCACTGTAATGGAAACGAGTTTTCCACCTTTGTTTTTAGGAGGGTCAAAAAAAAAAAAGGGGTTCTTGCTCGCTGTTACAGTCTTAACTGTCTTATTTTTTTAAAAAAAAAATGTTACATTATTTTTGCCGACGTAAAATAAATAAATTTTTTATTTTTATAAAAAAATTATTCTAACTAACTTTATTAATTTACATAAAATTATTATAGATACTTATGAAAAAGGACCAAAGTAAATACCATAAAAGAACAAAAACTGCCACATGGGTGTTGAGAAATTATTGAAAGCTGGTTAAGGTTAATTAATTTATCTTGCACTTGTTTATTTTTAAAAGATATTCCTTCTTACGTTTTATCGTTATACTTTTGCCCATTAACTTGCTTGTTTGCAATTAAACTTTGCATGGCTCTAGTTGGAGTAACTCGAGTCAACCGACGTGATTTCCTTCTTACGCCCAAAAACAGTATTTTGAGATCTTTATTACAGAGTTATATCACTTGAAATTCAGAGAGAATTATATAGAGGTCTCAAGTAGGAAACTTATTTACAAACAACTCTAGCAGGTTTGCTAAAATGCACTCAAATCCCCTGTAATTGAATGACTTTTTGTTGAGTTTGATTGTTTTTACTCTCTGGACGACTTACTCTGCCCCCTGCAATTTGCCTTGATGTCTATTTGGGTGTTTCATGTTTATGGACACTTCGCGGTGTAGAATGTGTCATAATGTCTGGCAAGCAACTGTGAATTTCATGATTCCCTTTGGTATTAACTACAATGATCTGCTTCTTCAATAGGACCCTGGAGAGTTTCATGATTATATATGTTAGGCTGGTTTGTTCGGATATCTCTTCTTGTCCACGAAAGATGGTCTTGAGATCCACGAAAGTTGAACTGTCCGTTCTATTGCTTCCTAACTTGGCACTATTATTATACCAGAAAGCGGCTTTTCAGTAGTTAGTTAATTTGGCCATGCTTTTAGAGCTTCCACCCTGAGTCTCGGAGGACCATCTTGGTGAAGTAGTAACAGCAATATCCAAGTTACTGTGCTTTAAGGATAGGTTGCTATACCGTATGAATATCAATCAATCATAGAAAACTTGTCTTCGTTTCCATCCATGGCAGGTCGATTTAGCTTTGGCTCCCCCACCCCTCCCAACAGTTCCCATGAAATGAACAGTGTCTTCTAAACCTGCTACTTTCTCTCGCTTCTTTTTAGATGTCTAATTACTTCTGGCCTCAAGCTGTGTGTGGAGAGTAGTGAGGAAGATAATAGTGACTTAGTGAACAACGTAAACACAAAGCATTGGATGCGAGGCCTTGTGTTGTGTCTCTATTGGAGTTTGGGCCTGTTGGAGATAGGAAAACTTTGAATTCAACGTTATATAACTGTGTCAGTGTTTGCTTTGAGGAATCGGGACAAACATTTTTAACGAAAGCAGGAGAGAGTCGACAATTTTGACGAAGAAACAGTTACAGAATTTATAGATCCACTACTTCCAGTCCCATTTCTCTTCCATTTCACATTAAACTCGTCAGCTCCCCTCCTCTGTGGACAATACTGTATCCAACCAGATGCATCCAACCATTTGGTTTCGACCCATAATAATTAATGCCTTCGACTACAAACATAGGGCTTCTTATCCTTAAAATTGTATTTGCATCGAAGACCTGTACTTCCTGATTTTATATCTTTCACACATAATTGAATAAGAATTTGTAAGTTCAAAGCCTCGGTACAGTTGAAAGAACTCTGTTTTCACAATTTCATTGTCGTCTTTGCTTAAGCTGCTGCATTATATACTTTTAATCATCTTTTCCAGTTATTTTTCATGACAGCAGTTTATGTACTCGTCATCCGTTGAGCTTGCAGTTATAAATTTGATCAACAGAAAAATTGACATGACAATATGATTATTTGAAGCCAAGAGAGAAATTTTCTAAATATCATTCTAGATCGATATTGATGGAAATCATATACGAATCGATTAACAAAAAAAAAAAATCATTTGATTCGAATCTTTTTCGTGGGAGTGGTGGATTGAAACTCAGATATCCCCGTTCCTTCACTGTGGTCCTCCATCATGCCCATCATCAGTCTCTCAAGATCCTCCAATGTGTGTTCCTAACAATACCCCAATTCAACGCTATTCAGAAAATAATAATGTTTAACTGAGTAAATAATTCTTCTCCACCTCTCATTTTTTGTTAGTTATTGTAGTGTTAAATGCAATACCTGGGGGCTCTCTGTCTGCGTCATCAAGATCAGTTCTTGCATGAAATCAACGAATCCCTGTTTCCAGAATTCCGATATGTAAATACAATGATATGTCCCCGGAAACACATCGGATAGAGAAATGACTCTAACAGGAAACGCACCTCCTCGTCGTCGTCGTCTCCGATGAAACCAAACAAGCCAGCATCATATATGGTTCTCTTCCCTTTATTAGACAAAACTACATTTCAAAACGAGACCATTAGTAACAACCAAAAACGCGCTAACGCAGCGTTTCAGAACTCATATAAAGGGAGGAAGCAATAGATTTTCAAATATAATACCCGAATAAGCCTCTTGAATTTGCTGAAACCGTCTTTTAGCTTCTGTAGCAAGCTTTGGCTCTCTAGTCCACCTATCCGGATGCCATTTCTTCCTCCCAGAAGAAGAAGAAGAAAGAATTGAGAACAAATTCACTTGAATGAAGAAAGAATATTGGTCATTGCTAGTTAATTGACAGAAAATTATTTTATCCGCCTCCAATAATGTGCCACGAAAGCTTAATTACCAGAGCCATTTTACGATAAGCGCCTCGGATTTCACAATCGGTGGCCTGCTTGCTTATCCCAAGCACAGAGTAATAACAACCACCGCAAGGGTCAACAACGTCAGACATCGTGGCCGACCGGAACTACAAGTTGAAATGGAGAATGCGGAGGTTATAGCCTCGCCGGTTAACGTTGGTGCGTGTCGAGGTTTAATAACGGGAGGCCTCGATTTATGTGAGAAAGACAGCAACTAAGGCTATGAGCGATCAGAATAAAATGCTGCATGGCCTGATTATGAAGAGAACCATGACATTGAGAATACAGGCATTGGATCACATCTGATCTTTAAGAAGAAACAATTAAGGAAGGTTGAAGAGAGGTTGAAAGTTCTAGAGGCTTCTGGGGGAAGGAGGTGCTGATATTCTTGGGTGTGTAGAACCCCTGGCCAAATGCAGTGACTGGGCGTTATCGTCACATAGGGAGTGCCTCTTGCGGAGCCACATATCTTGCATGCACCTCGGACACCTGTAATCTGAAATGGGGCCCACCCTGCCTCTCTTGGCTGCCTCTTTTGTTACCAAGAAAACAAAAGGCCAAAACGAAAAATGAATAAACGGAGAAAAAAGGAGGGGTGCTGGCGGATTGCTGGTTGCTGCTTCTGTCGCTCCGTGGTTTGCGTCTACCAAGTTTCCAACATGGATAATATGGCATTTAGCCCAGATGCTGCTTCCTTCTTCCCCTCTTTTCCCAATTTTATATATAAGTTACTCGCAAGCCTACGACTCTCTCTTTCAGAAAAATCAAATTACTATGGTTGGCAAAAAAATCAAGTTAAACATTGAATATTAATTATTTTTAATTTTTTCAAAACAAAGATATTATTAAGTATTAAATGTGGACACCTTTGAAACCAAAACATAATAATTTGATGCAATGCGAGAACTAATGGACCTGAGTCAAGACTGAGGCCCTAGGCCCAACTCAAGAGTCGGACATGACGCTTCTTTAAGCTTGGGCTTCGTTATGGATTTAGAGGCCTGTCTTCCCGAATCTCGACTGGGTGCATTGGGGTGCTCTCCTATTCCTTCATCCTAATTGCTCTCGTTGAGGTTCGGTTTTGGACGGTTGAGTTACTTATGCAAGTATGTAACCCAATTTTCAACCAAGAATCCTAATTCAGATTCCAGAGTCCAGAAATGGGTGTATTCGCGTCGAGTGCTGTGTAAAGAGAGCTTGGTGAAGCAAGCAACGGGTATTATTGTTGCATTATCTGTATCTGTATAATACAAATTACATTTATATTTTATACAACCAAAAATAATAAAAACATCACAGAGAAATCCCTCGCTCTCTCCTAAATCTAAAATTGTTAAAAAAAAATGAAAAGAAATAATAAAAAAAAATCACCCTTTTAGCGTGTAAATTTTAAAAATGTTCACTTTCTATTCCCATTTTTTCGTTTCATGTCAACCGAAGCTGGATGCCTTCCCGGTCGATGCGAGACACCGTTTGATTGCTTCCGTGAAGGAGAAGGACCAAGAGAAGGATTGGTGATACTCTTGCTGAATAAATAGCCAAGAGAAAAAAACTAATATTAATTTCCAAGAAGGTGTGTATCAAAGTTTTTGAAGTGGAGCTAAAAGTAAAATTAAGCTGAAGTTTTACCTCAGTTCTGGGCCTTTTGTTAACTTTGGGACAGATGTCTTAGTCTTCGGTCCAATGCCATTGGCGACGCCTGGAAGTTTGGAATGATTAAACTGCCAAAGTAAGTCGTGTTCCGAAGAATCACTGGTTGCAGCATCAAGATCATCCATGCCATCTGACCCTGCAGCATTGAACTGGCTGCCTCCCATAAACACATTATAGGACTGATCAGTGTATATTTTGGAAGAATCTTGGAGGTATTTCTGATAAAAGACATCAGACAAGTTTCCATTGTCTGCTCCCCAAAGTCCCAAGGGGTTCTCAGTTTTGCTCACATCTTGCTTATTTACCATGACCTTATCAACCCACTCTCCAGATCCAGTTTCTTTATCATCTTCCCCGTAGTTTGGTCCAGGACTACTCACTGGGGGCCATGGCGGTGAATTTGTTGATATCTCATCAAAATCAAAGCTCTGAGTTTTTGGCTTCAATGTGCTATTACCGTGCAGCTGCAGGATCAACGGTAATCACAGTAAGCGAAACCATTTTAAGCGATTGGAGAAAATCATTAGGAAATAAAGCACACACCTCTATGTTGCCAACATCAACCATAGGTTGCCGGCATCCAAGGTGATCACCCACTGTATCTGCACCCCGCTTGTCAGTATGATAAGGTGAGAGCTCACTACTAGCCTTTTTCCTGTACTTTTCAGAGCTTCCAGATAAAGAATGCTGCACCACGTGTTCCGATTCTCCCTCCCTTCTTGCCAATGCTGCCTTAAGGCTAGCAATCTGTCGAACAGATTAATTGTTCAACTAGATTTAGTAACTTGCAACCAGAAAGGAGTCAGAAGAACACGCAGAACTGTAAGGTTAAGCAGGCAGAAGAACCTGTTCCTTGAGCTCTTTAACATCTGCACTATCTTTGTTTACTCGAGCAGCTCCAAGCTCAACTGTAGCAACTCTTTCGGCAAATTTTAAGGTGCTGATTGTTTCGCCGAGAGCGTCACTCTCTGGACTTACGTGGACGAACATTAGGGTCTTGGCGTGTCCTCCTGAAATTATAGGTCCCACATATTAAGAAGCATGAAAAACATGCTGGACCTGCAACGCAAACTACGTCTAACCAGCAACCGAAACAAGACTTAATCTTACCAAGCGAATCTTGGAGTAATTGTGTGAGTTTGCTATTTCTATATGGGACATGAGGATTTTTCTGAGCAAGGGAAGCGATGACATCACCCAGAGCTGAGAGAGATTTGTTAATATGTTGCGCCTCTTTTAGCCTATCTCCTGTGGCCTCCGATTTATCTACCCTCTCGCTTCCTGCCAAGTCAACAAGATGCATGCATCCCCGAAGGACAGTTCCTGATGTCAAATCTCTTCCTTGTACATGAACAGTCAAGCAACTGCAAAATTGAGAATTTCAAGACACTAGTTAGCTCCGCCAACGTACAACAAAAACAAGAGGATAAAGATAACAGGAAATAAATGGATTATAAACATGCCTATGAGAGCGGCTGCTTCTGTCATTAAGGGCAGTTGCTCCAACAGCACGGTTTCTGTGCCCCAGTTTCATCAAATCAATAACATCAAGAGTTGAGGATACAGAAACGAGGCTGGCATCTGGCACACTGAGCCCCTTATGAGAACTATTTCGAATTTCTAATGTATTGATGGTTAAGTGCCACTGGGCAAGCAACAGCATAAAAAATCTGTTTTCATTTTAAAGCTCTATCTATATATGTTTAAAAAACGGCAGTCAATATCATCTCTGCTATATTCTGGGGTTTTAATGTTCTATAGCCATATCCATGGGAGATATATAAGAGTGAGAAGCAATTATATGACCAGTAAAAGGATATCTTCTGTTGCTTCCATCAGTAACTAGCAGATCTCTGACTTGCTCATTGTAAATCTCAATCATTTGAACGGACACATCATAACGAAGAGTATCTTTTCTCTGATCTGCTATAAGAAACAAGTCACCCAGAGCCCGATAGTTTACACCTTGGCTTTTCTCTGTAATCTCTTTCGGTCCAGTCTAAATGTATACAACATATATCAGCAAAATATTATTAAAACTCGAAAATTTAGGAAATAACTTCAAACTACATCCTACCATAGTGTAAGTTTTTCCTGATCCTGTTTGACCATACGCAAATATGCAAACGTTATACCCATCAAGAACAGACCTAACGAGAGGCTGCATATCAGAATACCTCCGCTGCAATACAATAATAGACGAGTTAATCTATGTCTAGATTTTCGAATTCTAGAGATACTTGAAAAAAGAATCAAACCTTGGGTTGCTGATGGTCCAAAGACTTTGTTGAAGTTAAAGGATCTGCGTCCTTTCCCATTCTTTGATGAGACATTAATTGTGATAGTTCCATCGTCTATATTTTCCACCGTGCTCGAAAAGTTTGATTGTCCAGGCAAGAACGGTCTTACTCGACAATACACCCTAATGCTCCCTGGTACAATAATAGACGAGATTTTAACCCGCCTATGTCTAGATTTTCGAATTCTAGAGATACTTGAAAAAAGAATCAAACCTTGGGTTGCTGATGGTCCAAAGACTTTGTTGAAGTTAAAGGATCTGCGTCCTTTCCCATTCTTTGATGAGACATTAATTGTGATAGTTCCATCGTCTATATTTTCCACCGTGCTCGAAAAGTTTGATTGTCCAGGCAAGAACGGTCTTACTCGACAATACACCCTAATGCTCCCTGGTCAAACAAAAGTAACCCGCCTTGAATCTATTTGGGCCGCAAAGCCATAATAATGCTTTGGGATAAGGCAACCAATTATGTTTATTACCCTTAAGATCCTGCACTTGATTGTACAGTTTGCGATTTTCTTCAAGAACTTTGTGATATCCGGAAGCCGCATGAGCTAAGCTATTAACGTGCATGCCTATGAAGTTTAATATCAAATAATAAGCACGCGTCATCCATCAATCCCGAGGCAAAAATGGGGAGAAAAAACAAAAAAGCGATGAGCATAAAATTTGTCATTCCAAATCCCTACCAAGATTGGAGAATTCCTCTTGAAATTTCATTTGCATGAACTGCATGCCAGCTTTTGTGGTATGGATAGTCTGCTTTAGTTCCTACAGAAGCATGAGAATAACAAACTCTTACATACCCTTTTAAAAACTTCAAAATGGAGATTATATATATTATCACAGCTGCTCCCTACTTGGATTTCTCTTTGCTGCTGATCAAAGTGCGTTCGCCGTTTCAGAAGTTGGGCTTGCAATTCCTCATCGGTGACACGGTCTTTGTGAATGACTGCCTCTTTCTTCGTAACCACAATAGTTTTATTTTCCGCCTAATCAATTCCAAAACAGATTAGCATTCTAGTTCATCAATTCGTCAATTTTTCAGAATCTTCGGGCGTTTGAATGGGTCTGGCATGAAATAATACCTTCTTTTCTCCCAAAACATGCTTTGATACAGGACCATTGCCTTGAGAAACAGCGTCTCTTGAAGTTGCTTTTGTCTGAATGACATGATAAACAAATAAACAAGAAAAGCTTAATCATAAGCGAAAAGCAGTTACTGTTAGAAACGGGGTAAATTTTGCAAATTGGCAGCCAATGACCTAAAACCAAAAACTTATGAATTAAATGTGAGAAGTGTTGTACCTGTTCACCCTGACTTGCAATGCGATGCTCAAACTCCTCTACCACTTTATTTAAAACGGATTCAACCAACTACATCAGGCAGAAAAAATTATAAATTAATTCGGTAGGAGCTGTGACAAGATAACAATGCAGTAGCTGGAATAGTACTAGATGGGGAACTCAACATTTAGTGTGCACTTTAAGTGGTGTTTCAAGAAGCAGATATGAGCGAAAAGCCAAGCCCTTCATCATGATGTTAGATGCCCCCACAATATTTCACATTTATAATAAGATAGCTTATGCTCACAGTGCACAACGGGAACAGCCTTATAAAGTATAATTAGATGAGTAAATTTTCTGTTTAACTTTTATCTACGAAGTATAAAAGTATTATTTTTCTTACCATTGGAACTTCTTCGGGCTTCTTGTCCAATAGCATTGCACGAACCAGCATGCTCAAAGAATGAGAAACCGACTGCAAACATAGGCAGTCCACATTCAGTCATTCTTTTCTTCTCAACTCAGCCAAGCAAGAGTAGATGAATAATTAAATATTCCGAGTCAAGCTTACCAACCATTTTATTAGACTCAACGTCAGAGGTTAAAGCAGCCAAAGATTTTTCATTAATGGATGAGGTCCTTGACAGGGAATTAGTAAATGGCTCTGAATTTTTTCTGACAAAAGATTTTCCTGAAGCTGTGGGTTTCAGAGCTCCACCAAATCTCCACACACCATTCGCCCCGTTTTGTTTCCATTCACTATAGGATTTAAGGGCCAAAACGCTGTTCACAATCCTCGATGATTTTCCTCCCTAATTGATTCAGCAGAAAAAAACAGGATGTTCATAAGTAAAGGATCCCTGTTTTATTAAGTCGCACCTAATTATAGGGTGTTGTTAACAATCGCGATAAGATAAATCCTTGCACACAAAAAATGTAAAGTAGCAAGAATTTACTTTCTTTACATACTTGTTCCAGATCAGATGCCTCAAAGGTAGGAAGTCCAATCTCCTGGACAGCGTCAAGAAAGTTCCTAACATTTTCAAAATACTGATATGCCGATAATGGTGCACCATCTGGGAGAAGTGCAGAATCAATAGGACTTTCCACGACCTTCACGATGATCACACAGCAAAAATTAGTAATGTTAAGAGAATGGATTTAGAGTAAATCAAACTTGATTCAAACTTACCTTGGGTATAGCTCCGGGTTGAACCTTATTAATAACGTTGCAGAGGATGATCCCACTTCTCAAACCAAGCCTAAACTCTTCCTCAGAGGGCTCGGCTGGTAAATCTTTAGCTGCAACAACTCCAACCATCTTTCTCAACCAACCTGCTGCTTCATATCTTCTTGATGCTGCATTTTAGAAGTTTTACTAATTTAGGATAAATTATACTAAATCCGTAATTCAGATTGTCCTTGCTAGATTGGCATGGATATTGCGGACCCTTTCTTTTCATATATACATGATCAAAAAAAACATAATTCAAACGATCAGGCTTGTTAATGGTGAATTGGTGATCGGCCCTCAATAATTTCCTTCATGAAGCTATAAGCCAACATTTATCAGCAACTAAAAAATAGCACAGTGATGCTGGGAGAAGAGAAACAATTGAGAAGCTTCAAACCAGAAAATGCATTTAGCCCACCATTCCTTATTGATATTCATAAAAAATTCGGCAAAGAGGGAGGAATTACCAGTTTCTTCTGCTTTTCTGGATTCCAAGTCGAGATCTTTTAGATGAGTCCCGTGCTGCTGAAGCACATCTTCCACTACCGATGCCACGGAAAACGACAATGTCCTCTCTGCCGCCATAATTTCACAGCAGATCGAACACTAATCGAACCTCGAGTACAGCTTTCAATCCCTCATTTCAAAGCAAACTCAACAATTCAGCTAATCAACACTAACCATCCATTGGATAGTGTTGAGTTGACTGATATTTGTGGAGCCTCTTGAGGAGGATGAGAGCTGGATTTCAGAGAAAAAGGAATGTAGAGGCGAGACAAGGAGATGATAAAAAGTGTGGGAAGAGTGGTTCCCTCGATGCTGTTGAGTGCAGTTGAGGTTTCTTTGCTGAAGATTCACATGCTCATATTCTCCATCATAACCTTTTGCTTTTCTCCTTCTCTCTACGTACAAATTGCGCTCCCTTTCTTTCTCTCACTATCTGTATCATCATCTGCTTTATACTCCTAGTGCGCTGGTTTTCTCTTCGCTGTGCCTCGGCTCCGAACCTACTCCCAAACCTCGCCCTTCCGATTTTCAAAAGTTTTAAATTGTAATTTGTTTATTTATTTTAACGGTTCTTAAAATTAAAAAATCACAAAACAAAACAAAACAAAATTCCCTGCGTGCACGGGACGAATTGCAAAGGTCCAACAGGGAATGTCGTTTTCACCTCCGTGCGGCGGCGCGTGTATTTCAAGCATAGTCACACTACACGTCGCAGGGAAGAGCTCGGAGCTCGGAAAGGCACGAGCAGAAGAGAATCCAATTCAATATGGCCGTTGGCCAGGGGTTGAATTTCACGCATCAACGGGGCGTGAAAAGGCCGGGAGAAAAATATGAAAATTTTTGCAATGGTTTACTTCAGAAAGGCATATTTTAATTGAAATTCAGAGCAGCCGTGATTTTGATTTTAGATCCCACAGGAATTGGCTTGGACTTGGATGCATCCTCTCACATAATGTGCCTTTCTTTATTTTTGGTACACCAAATCCACCATTCTTATTTGCAATATCCAATATTTTCCAAGGCATCGCTAAAGTAAAAGAAAGGACAAATAAACTAGTAAAGTGCCCACTTAAATCTTAGTAGATGATGCGTTTTCTGGATCTAGTTTTTATTATACATACAGTGATTTCATCAGGATGATTATGTTGGTTGCCTTCCATTTTCCTAAATTATGCTTTCTCGCTCGACCTAGTCTGTATCAACTAATTCGATCTGTCATTTTTCATATAAAGTACTCCTCTACTATTAAATACAGTAGATCACTTGGTGGTTGTCAATTAAATTTTTTTCCAGTATCACCCATTACAATTGCAATTTATCACGAGGACACTTGAAATTTAATGTGGTGTTTCTGTATGCTCTCAGATACAGACAGAGTTAAAAAAAAAAAATGTTTCGTATTTAACTGAAATTAATGAGTCAATTACTTTTCATTCATTTTTAGACATGAAATAATTAGAACTGACTTATAATATGAATCGGGGGAAGTAAATCAGTTTTGATGATTATTAAATGGCATCCCATATAAGCTATTTGCATTTATTTTAGCTCTTTGCCTACACATTTGCTTATGCGCTCTTATTCATGAAGGCAAATCACATTGTTCACATGAATTCTAACTATTATTTCCGAACATCTTTTCCTCCTCCTTTCCAGATTTCATTAAATATGAATCATCCACGTATAGATGACGTTAATATATACTATATCCGATTCTTAATATAAGACCCTATTTAATTTTTATTTTGGTCCTAAATATAAGACCCCAATCCACTTTATCTCTTATATTTATACATTTTTTCCAAAGTAGCCCTTCTAACAATAATAATTCTAGTCAATACACTTGATTAGTAAGGATATTTTAGAAAAAAAATAACACATATTTAGAACAAATAACTAACTCAACTTACTTATTTAATCTCCTCAAATTAGTTAACTGACTCTTATAATTAAAACCGGAAGTAGTATGCCTGTGCATTTGAGATATGAGCATGTTGACGGAACCTTTCCTCACATATACTTTACAAAGCCTAAAAAATGATAATAACCACATCATTAAAGACGGTGATATGATGAGGGCCACTTATTTGCCACAACCACTCGAATGATCTTCACCCTCTTTTAATTCTACTATATGATTTAAATTGCAGTGCATGAATGAATATGAATGAATCAAATTGAAAGCAAAGTAATGTCGTGCCTAACTTACGATAGAAAAATGGAAGTCCCTTCTTTGGGGTTCAAAAAAATATTCAAAACCAAAAATAGAATTATCTTTGAATAGAAGTTTGGAGTGGTTGGATTTGTCCACTTCGTTAATTGCCGCATCCACTTTGCAGCACACAATCATTTTTTTATGAATCTAATTCAAAATTGAAAGACGTGATTGGTCCACCTCATTATGCCATTTGCTGCAACTTCAACCCCGTCGGAATTTTCCGACACAAAATTAGATTCCAGTACGGGTCTTTCTGAGGAAGAAGAGACTCAATGACAAGACTGCCCAAGCATCTTGGCAGAACCGGTGAACATGGTAGTCCACGTAGGAAACGTTGTTTAAGGGAATTGCATTGGGATATAACGTTAACAACACCAACAGTACAAGGTTGAGCAGAGAGAACGTCATTACTTGAAAACGAGGGCAGCTATAAGCAGATAAAATGTCGCTTTCGGTTAGTGATGCGGTGGTTGGGGAACAGTTATCTGTGAAGCCCACCACTGTAATTAAGAAATTATGTTACAATGATGAAGAAATTAACACCCAACTCAGTGCAACAACAACTTCGTCCATGCGTGGCCTTTGCTTCCAAGTTATTAACTTCCCAGCTCGCCTTTTGCGCTCACTAAAGTTGGACCTAATGTCAACAATGCAGTGGTGAATATCTCAACGGTTGTTGCCGATTTTATCTACACATTACGCTTCCTTAATATGCCCTTTATTTATGTTCCTGAATGATTCATCTTCCAGTATTTTCTTAATAAGCATTGCCAAGGTTTTGAGGTTTTTTAGGCGATTTATTTTACTAATATTTCGATGTACTCCCCGCATTTTATTCATGCTCGCTAGCTTCATGGTCTAATAAGCATTACCCAGATTTTTATATTTGCAGTTTGCATCAAATTTCTTTTTCTTTTTTTTTCCCAAACAGTTTGTAACAAGATTATATGACATATATATATGTTACATATAATCACGCAAAAAAAATGTAATGTTTTTTATATATGTGTGGTCGAATGGGGCGGGGGGGAAAAAAAAAAGATAGGCATTTTGGGGTTTCAGGAGAATCTCGCCGCTTGGGAGGCATAAGCTGCACTGCACGGAGTCTGAAGGCTGAATTAGAAAAAATCAAAGTTGGTGGCAAAATTGTCAATACGCAGTATTCCCCACAGCGTCATCATAACGTTCAAAAAATTCAAATCCGTGGTTCGGGACCAAAAGCAGATGAGGCTCGGCGGCGAACTAGGGCCCCACGCAGTGCAGCCCCAACGGGTCCCACTTTACCGGCAACTGGCGACCATTGAATAGTTTCTGGGCCCGTATATTCTCGAAAAGTAACAGCGGCCCATTCCGGTAGGCCCATCTTTTCCTCAGAGTCAAGTTTCCTTTAACATTTAAATTTTTTTTAATAATTATGGTTTTTTTTTTTTAAACCAAGGATCAATCCAACAATAACTTGTCCATAACATTTGATTCCCACAAAACTTAAAATCAAGCGAATTTAAATCAATCATCATAACTATTCATTGAAATATAAAATCGTGTTCAATATAAATCTAATTGAGAAATATTTACTTTTTACTTTCTACCGGAGACAAATGATATTTTTAGCCTCACTAATAAAAATTACATTAGGAGAACGTCACATATACTTCATCGTAGAAGGAAAATAAAGACGATGGACGCGGTTAATGAAAGGGTCCGTAAAACTTTCACAATCACTTGTGTGGAGTAAACCTCAACTTCATGCATGTTGATGTTTGCCCCATAATTACTATATATGCATACGTACATATACATATATAGAGGAGATTTAAGACGCAACTACCACGAGTAAGGGGAGCGAGGGAGTAATTAACACTGGTAATATTTAAATAACTTATCCATGCCACCATTTAATTTTGTTCCTAAAAGACCAACTCTTGAGCTGTGAAATTCATGACAGATTTACACACACGCGCGCGCGCGCATGGGACCTGCAGAGTCGTCCATAATCATTATTGGCTGTTGAACCAAGAAAGTCGATAATTGTTGGATTCTAATTGCGAGCCCTAATTGTGAGGAAGATGATTAGCTGTAGTTATAATGGGGAAGGTTAAAGTTATGAGTTATGTTGGCTTTTTTTTTTTGAAAAAAAAAATGAGATTCACATGCAAAGAGGAGCCCAGGCGCTGCCCCTTATTTATAATTATATTTGATGAGTTCTCTTTCTGAAGCATTCATGCTGTCAATCTCTGAAGAAGATGGCCGGCCGGTTCGATGACATATGCCTCCCCACCATAAAGGCTCTCTGCTTCAATGCTTCAAGTCAAGCATAACTTTTCAAGGTCAGGAAAAAAAAAAAAAGAAGTCAAGCATAACTTTTGCAGCCAAAAGTTGCAGCAAATACAGAGCCCCCTGTGCTATTATTTCTCAACTTTTCTAAAACTTGCAACATCAACTTAACTATCTACGTACCCTTCAACCCCAACAGAAGCGAGATAAATGTTTTTGTTCTTTTTTTGGAAGGCCTAAACAACGTCATAAAGATCTCATAATAATAGGACAGCAAAATTTTGTTCTGCGACATAAAATAATCAAATTTAGTGGGTGTATGCCGGTTGACAGTTGACTTGACCCGACCAGGTACGAAAATAAAAATATCCCTTTATTGAATTCAGTCAATTCAAGCAGTGAATTATGCGTTGGGGGATCGGATGCCTGTCCTACTGTCAAAGTTAACGCAACTATGATTTTAACATATCCATAATGGTAATAATAACGCATAATATCTATGTATATATTCATCGGAACCACCAATATGCAAGTATAGGGAAAAGTTGGATCATAGGTCATAGATATATCAGAAAGAAACACTGGAATATAATACATGGGCATGGCTAACAATTTGTTTATGAAAGAAGATGAAAGAAATGGTTGATTGCATATAGTTAAATGAGGTGGGAAAAGCAGCATTTCAGAGAGAATGATGAAGGTATAGCCCTGCTTGGGGTTCTTTGATGGCTCTGGACTTTTTAGAGCCGACCAAACTATGCATGATGAAGGTGAAAGGATGTAGGCCCTACTCCTCATACGTCCCTACAAACCCATGTTCTCTTATCATACTCTCAAGTTGATGAGGCGGCATTCTATTTCTTATACGCACCATCTTTATTGCTCCTGGCACGACATTTAGCCCCCGCGTCTTTCTTTCCTTTT